GTGTAAAACACCCGGGAAGGCGAGAGGGGGAGAAAGAGGGTTGAGAACACGACGAGAGCTACCTGAGTAGTGAGGGGGAAGCGCACCGGGGGCTGTCTCCTCCGGGGGGCGCTGACTCGATCCGCCGTCACCGGAATCCGATCTGTGCGGGCGCGTGGTCGCGATCGTCGTCGTTGTCGTTGTCGTCGTCGTCGTCGTTGCCGCCGGAGACCCGGGGGAGGGGGGAACGCCAAGCCTCCTCGGCGATCGTGTGTCGTCCGGCTCGGTGCAGCGCGGCGCGGCGCGGCGCGGCACGGCACGGCACGGCACGGCACGGCGTTTGACGTTGCGACGTGACGTTACGGCCACGGGTGTTGACGCGATCCGCGACCGCGAAACGGCGCTACCACTAGGCACGCGCGGCACCGCGACGCATCGACGCAGCGACACGGCTGGCACGTCTCCCGTGAGCGGCGCGAGATCCCCAGGTGTGTAAATAACTTCACGTCAAACACCGAGTGTCGCCCCGTAGAGGAGCCATCTTTGCTGGGTGGGCACGCATCGGCGGACGCCGACGTTTTCCGCCCGGGCAGTACGATCGCGGGTGGTCAAGCCCGAACGTATTCAGGGGGCACTTCCCCTACCCGCGAAATGGAAGGACAAGGCTATTATATTTTGCCTGGTTATGGACGAATAATTAATAATTTATAATACAATTAATAATATTGCATTTTCTTTAACATATAAATGGATAATAAGTCTGTATTTTTTAATGCGATAAATAATATAATATTTCTGTATTTTGCTCCTACATATTTTAGAATATCTTTCATAGCGTTTATCTGTATATGAAATATATATATTTTAGAGGATTTTAATACCTCGTTCTCTACAATATGAGAGAAATATAATTTATTATTTTAAACTAACAATGGAATTGTTTAATTCTATAATGTTAAATCATATCTTAAACTATATTTTATCGACTAAAGTCAAATTTTTTAATATTTGCGATTACGTTAGAAATTATATACTACCTTAATAGGTATATTAATTTTTTATTTTTCTTTTTTTCTGCAAGAAGTATTAATATTAAAATATATATACAATTTTATTTATAACATTTTAAATGGATTGGAAAATACATAGGAGCGCAACGAGCGAATTTAAGATGACTTTGACGATCGAAACTCGGCAATTGATTTGTAAAATAATATTTTATATGTATGTACAATAAATTATTATCAATTTTTTTTGTCGATCTGAAAGAAGAAAGATTAAATTAGAGACTATAACGTATTGTACAATTAGAAACTTTTCTACAAATGAATTTTGCCAGTCGGATTAATCGTAAATTGACTGAAATTTGATCGAAATCGCCTTTAAATAGAATATTGACCGTGCAGGGATGCGAGACGCAGGAGACACCGTGAATGTAGGCTAGCTACGAGCCTGACCGGCGCGCGGCCGCGCGGCGCGCCGCCTGGCAGCCGATCCGGTCGACGTCGCGCGGACGTGCATTCGAAAAATGGCCGACAGCGGGGATGGTGTGAACAGCACGACGTCCGGGAAAGAGACGAGGGGCATGATCGCCGATGGCCCGGTCACCGATCCAGCGTCCAGCATGAAGGTAAATCGAGCCGGGCTTCGGTCTGACCTAAAATCTCGGGCGATCCCGCGCGCTCCGAGCGACGTTCGCGCCAATCTGACAGCTGTATACCACGGCCCGTCGTATTTGCCGCCGTTCTCACGGAGAGACGGAGTCGATCGGAGTGAACGAGGAGAGCCAGAAACGCGCGTTTAACATCGTCGCTCGGCGATACCTCTCGCATCGAGGGTCGCTCGTTCGACAGAAATGCAAAGTTTCGACGTTCGTCTCTTTTCCTCCCTCTTATTTACGTTGTTTTTTTTTTTCGTATTTTTCTTTCGTTCTCTGTATGTATGTGTGTGTCTCTCTCTTTCTCTCTCTCTCTCTTTTTCTCTCTCTCTCTCCCTCTTTTCTCCTCTACCGTCGTCTGTCTCTGTCAGTCTCTTTATCAACTCCTCACCTGTGTTTCTTTTGTCTCGCCCAACCCTTTGAAGTCTTGTGACCACATGTGGCTCTTACGTAATTGGACACATGGCATTAATTGACATGTCGTTAATTGATAAATGGGCGTTGGTTAAGAGCTGCCTATTTGCCTACCCGGGCATACTTGGACTCCCATTTTATGCAGTTGCGGATTAGAAGAAATTCTTTCTGACTCCTTTTTTTCCCTCCTTTTTCTGTTGTCTTAGTAGGTGAATTATTGGATTATAAACAACTAAAGGGCGCTACTTGTTTTATCAAGGATAAAATAAGTCAGAGATAAACATAAAGATCCAACGAAAGCTTGTTTAATTTGCAAGAAGGTGCACGACTGACAATGAGACTTGTTCAATGACACTGTTCGATCTTAATGCACAAGAATAATACTCTCTGTTTTTCTCCAGGCAGATATCTTTAACGGTTGTTCCAGACATCATAACAAGAGTCATTGTTACCTTTTCCCACTAATTAAGATAACCATAGAGAGAGAACAACTTTTTTTTTGGAGAAGTGAATGCATGCAGTTATGCATACTGCCCTTGACTTGGCATTTACGATGCTTATATTATTTTTACACATATAGAGCATTATTCACACAGTAGTCCGTAGGTTCGGTACCAATCACTCATGCATCGCTCGTAAGCCTAGAGACACCATTTAGGCGTGGCACAATTAGCACCACGTGAATTGTATCGAGTGCAAACAAAATGATTCAGAAACAATTAAAGGGGATAGCATACGTTATTCATGTTAATCCGCTTTTAATTCCCCAAATCTAAAATCTAAAGCCTGTATCAGGACTACGCACTGAAAATCGAATGGAATTCGACCAGTCAGGATAAAGAAATATTTACTTTTTCTCGTTCTGTTTGGTCAATTTTATGTATTCTCTTCAATACGTAATCTGATACAGACTTTATATGTGTGTTTCAGCTGATCCGACATACAAAATTGTAAACAGAAAAGATTTATGAACAGATATTTTAAAAAAGCTAATCCTCTATACACGAGTAATGGCAAAAGTTTATTGTTAAAATTACGGAACATATATAGAAGAGCCGAAATAGAACAACTTTCGAAACGATTATTTCATCGACGTTGTCCGAGTTTCCTACATTCAAAGATTTGTACCAACTCATCATGATTAGTTTGAACAAAATAGATTTGAAAGTTGTTCCATTTCGATCCTTCTATAATGCTCCTTAACTTTGGCAATAATCCTTTGAATTATCCTGTACAGTCATAAAAAAAAGCTTTATGGTATCCGTTTTATATAACGTAATGCTGATTTATGATTTGAAATCGTTTTACTCGATATAAGAGAAATTGTGCAAGAATACGGAAAATGAAGTGCGAAGAATTGAGTGTTGCCGTCAAAATTTCTATATTTGCGCACAAGTATGAAACCTTTTGGGAGCTTTGTACCAAACTACGGACTGTATTGCGGACACTTTGATGCATTTGAATGATGAAATGGTGGTTGTTGTGATTTCAGAGCCTAGAGGCATCAAATAATGCCTTTCACGGCGCGAGAACAAAATTAGTAAGTAAGAGAATATATGTGTATAAAAAAACACAAAGTAAATCTGTTTTCCTGCCCCCCTCCCCTCACCCCCCCCCCCATGCCGTAGAATGATCCTCGCTACTTCCTCACAGGGCTGCCTTAACTTTTCCGCCACGTAAATGTCGTGTGTGCTGATCAGATTTATCATTCTCGCTTATCGATCAGATAACAGACTAATGGGACGATTATATATAGATTAGCAAACGTAATTCGAGCTCCTTACATCTCGCTTTATCGTGATCTTGCACTCTCCGGGAGACAGAGAGAGCAAGTCCCACTTTAAGACACGTTTCATCATGCATAACGACGCGAGGAGATAAGGGAGAGCATTTTTTAACAGATATCGTCCACATTGATCTGTGTATATATACATTCGGCACAACAAACTAGCTTCACGCGCACACTTTCAGTTTGTAATTTCTCTCAATGCATTTCGCAGCCCACTTTAGACAAGAGAGGAAACTCGTCTCCGTGGCTCGTTGTGTCTAACTGTACCTTTCGATTTTTAGGACTCCAAATCCGGAGCGTTGAAGAAGTCCAGCCGCTACCGGAGCCGCTCCTTGTCAGCCAGCAGCACCGACAGTTACAGTTCCGGTACGAAACGAACGCCGTGTCTACGGCGACTGTGTTACACACACGTGTAGCGAAGTATTACAGTGGTAGAGCTCTCTGTGTGTTTTGCTTGTTGAAACATGAGAAACATCTTGTATTAGCTTTCCGTAATTAATATCACATTATCAGCCACTAACATGTCAATTTGTACTTCATCGCAAGCGCTAGCGTTTAAAGCAGTTACATAAACGTGTACTCGTGGGTTTTAATTAATCACGATTGTTTAGAATTAGCGATCGTCCTAATAACACGGACTTAGCAATTGCATTAGCCACCCCGGTTAGAATTATAATCTGCATCTGCACCTCGATGTGGTACTAATAACCGACGTTTTTCGGCACCCGGCGCTACCTTAGCCTCTTATACAGGAAGCTCGTCCGACGAGGATGACGTGTCGCCGCGCGAGAAGATCCAGAAGACGGAGAAGGGCTTCACGGATTTCTGCGTGCGTAACATCAATCAGCAAGCATTCGGCCGCAGGGAGATCGAGATCGCCGAACAGGAGATGCCGGGGATCATGGCGTTGCGGAAACGCGCGGCGGACGACAAGGTATCTTTACCTCTCTCGCATCTCGCTTTCTCTCCGACATAACGACGGAAGATTGTTAATCGCTTGGAATACCTTTTTTTTTTCTAAGGGGAATAAAAATTCAGTTTTTAGATAAAAAAATTCTCGTTCGATTGCGAGAGACAGGGGAAAAAAAAACAAAATCTGACTAATATATTTGCATAGCCGTTGAAAAACGCCAAGATTGTGGGATGCACTCATATCAACGCGCAGACCGCCGTTCTGATTGAGACGCTGGTGGAGCTCGGCGCGCAAGTGCGATGGGCGGGGTGCAACATTTATTCCACGCAGAACGAGGTGGCCGCGGCGTTGGCGTACGCCGGCTACCCGGTGTTCGCGTGGCGCGGCGAAACCGAGGAGGATTTCTGGTGGTGCATCGATAAGTGCGTGGCGGCCGAGAATTGGCAGCCTAATATGATACTGGACGACGGCGGTGACGCCACCCACTTGATGCTCAAGAAATACAACGCAATGTTCAAAATGATTCAAGGTTTATTCCGCTCCATGCCGCCTGGTGTTAACGTTGTGTAACTTTTCACGTAGCTCTTGCGCACGTTCAAGAAGATTTTTCACATCGAAAAATCATAATTTAATAGCAGTAATAATAGACAAAAATGGAATACGTCGAACAATAAGTAATTCTCGTGGTGTCTGATTTATGGATGAGTAAAATAGTAGAAATATGTCCTTCCAGGAATTGTCGAGGAGAGCGTGACAGGTGTACATAGATTATATCAGTTGTCAAAGGCAGGAAAATTGTCTGTCCCCGCGATGAACGTGAATGACAGTGTGACTAAAACGAAATTCGATAATCTCTACAGCTGCCGCGAGAGTATCATTGATAGGTGAGTTTTATCGTCTCTATCGTCTCGAAGATCTCGAATGTGCGTGTTCTAAATACGACGCTCGTTAGTTTTCAGCGCACTTATCGAATTTATTGCTTATAGTTTGAAAAGATCCACCGATATCATGTTCGGGGGCAAGCAAGTTGTAATATGTGGTTACGGGGAGGTCGGGAAGGGATGTTGTCAGGCCCTCAAGGGCTTAGGTTGCATCGTGTATATCACCGAGATCGATCCCATATGCGCTTTGCAGGCCAGGTAAGGCGCGCTTGCCGCGAAGCGGTTTAATTATCCCCCAGCCAGATCGTCCGCCGAGCCAGACAGAAATCCTATACATGTGTGTTGTCGCATTACAGCATGGACGGCTTCAGAGTGATGAAGCTCAATGAAGTCATTCGAAATGTAGACATTGTTATTACAGCGACGGGCAATAAAAACGTGGTCACGCGCGAGCACATGGACAAGATGAAGAACGGATGCGTCGTGTGCAACATGGGCCATAGCAACACGGAGATAGACGTCGTATGTTCCCACTTTATCTCTTTACCCCGCGCGGCGTGCAATCGCGGACAGTTATGGCAGTTCCGCGATTCGCGAGCGATTTGATTTGATACGATTCGCGCGGAGGGTGGCGCCGAGGATTAAAATCCCCTTAAATGTTGTTCCTAACAGAACAGTTTACGCACGCCCGATTTGACCTGGGAGAAAGTGAGATCGCAAGTGGACCATGTTATCTGGCCGGACGGCAAGCGCATCGTTTTACTGGCGGAAGGTCGCCTGGTGAATCTGTCGTGCTCGAGTATACCATCCTTCGTGGTGTCGATTACTGCCGCTACGCAAGCGTTAGCCCTTATCGAGCTATTTAACGCGCCACCGGGACGATACAAGAGCGACGTTTACTTGCTGCCGAAGAAAATGGGTAGGTATACCTGCTGTTGCTAAAATTAATGCAGCAATTTCTTTGCGTCGAATCTACTAAGTGAAAAACGAAGATTTATCGTCTCAAAGCAATTCTTATTGATTAAAATAATTAATTTAAAACAATTGAAATGATTATGTCTTTGTATTATTATTATATTTTTCCTTATGCAGAACAATTTTTTAAGACACTCGAATAGATAATTTAGCGAAACTCAGTAAACTTCATTATCAAGCTGGTACTTGATTTTTTATTTTTATTTTGTTCTATTAATTTGTCAGATATGTTGTATCGAAATGATGAGACAGATATAATATATATATATATATATCGTATTGTAACGTCGATTTACAGATGAATACGTCGCGTCACTGCATTTACCCACGTTTGACGCGCATCTGACAGAGCTGACGGATGAACAGGCAAAGTACATGGGCCTTAATAAGGCGGGTCCGTTCAAGCCTAACTACTATCGGTTAGTATCGAGCTTCGGATTCAAACACGAGTGCGACTGATCGATCGTGTGTGTTTTGTCTACCTGTGTTACCCACCTACTGTGGATCTGTTTCAGCTACTAAAAAACCATTGGACGAGTAATGTGGCATTGACTAGCACGTGCAACACTCACTCAGCATTACACACCCCTTCACAAGTATTTAAAAAAAAAAAAGAGAAAAAACCAGCCACCCTTCCTTGACTTTGTGCCGAAGCTGGCTTTCTTTTTTCCACTGTCGTTTCTTCCGTAAAATCGATAAGAGACTTTTATTTATGGTTCAACCTTCGTAGAGAGATCCGCGCGACGCGATTCCGCTATGTGTTATCGCTAATCATCCGCAAGGAATGCGTTAATAATGTCATAGTGAACACGCTGATCCAACAGTTACCCAATAATCGATATTAGAAACCACTACCGGGGGTTGGGCAAAATGCATTTGAGAAAGCCGCAAGTTACTTTGAACAACATATCAAAGACGTTTTTCGTTCTCTAATACGTCTCTAATATCTCTGTCTAGATCTGAAACTTACATAACTGAAACTTACATCCGATTAACTCTTGTAACAGTTTCCTTCTCAAGAATGCGCGAGTGTAGAACCTGCATTTGTCAAGCTAAACGAAAAAAAAACAAAAGAAAAAAAGAGAGGAAAAGAGGAAATCTCTCTGAAAAGTTGCCAGATTGTGCACGCCAGTAAACCCACACATAAAAAAAAACCGTTGGTTGAATACTACTGTAGATATAAATACAAGTCATGTATAGTTTGCAAGCCGAAGCGATAATTGAAATTGTATCTGTCCATTAGTTACTACCTGCAGTAAGTTAGCATTATAGTTTGTAAATGATGCAAACGGTGTGTTTTAATATAGTCTCGAGAGAGAAAGAGAGAGCGAGAGATATTTGTATACGTGTGTTATCTGTATAACGGACTTCCGCAGGGTGTAAAAGAGAGACCGACAGAGCGCATTAAAAAGGTAGCGAGAGCGTTATTGACTATTGTTCGGTTCTTCCGGATGAAAATTTTGTTTCGCAATTACGACGTTGCGCCCTTCAATTTTTCTTTTCTTAACGTCCTGCGCGTGCGTTTTACGCGTAAATTCGCACACGTATGCAAAGTTTTGGACGATTTCTTAGCGCGTGCAGATGATGCATGTTAGTCAATGATGTCGTTGTGTCCTTATAGTAACGAAAATTGTACGCGCGACGCGTTGCCCGCCGTTGAATGATGCATCATCCGCGAGTACTTATACCCCAGCCGTTTTCCGCAAGAATCTGCGGGAATCTGCCGCGTTTCGCAGGCGACTAATGCAAAACTTGTGTACATAATTATTTAAGGAGGGAGGACCCGACATACACGCGAATCAAGGCGATAAGCTCTGTCGTGGATTACAGCTTGTTATAATCTCTGGTTATCATTGTTACCCCCGTGCGCGGCACGAGGAACGATTTTGCGTATCCGTACGTTTAGGAAAAAAAAAAAAAAAATAAACGCCTATCACATTTAGAGAATTGATCGTGCGGATTTTTCTTTCCTGGAACCCTCACCCTCTCGATAGCGGCTGCGAGTCGAAACTGCTTTGCGTCGATCCGCCGAACTAAATTAATCGGCAATATACATATACATATCCGAGGGCATAGATTGAATGTTACATTCCTTATACGAAAGAAAGATTCTTCCTCGGTTCGTTCCGACAAAAATTCTTAGAATAGATCAAAACGTGACGCGACCTCGAGATGAAATGGCGTGTATCGATAGAGAAGAGGGATCAAGCTACGTTGTGAGATTTTTGCGTAGAACAGATTACTGAGCGTAGATATCACGCGTGATCTCTAAACGATAAGTGCATTTTCGGGTCTCCACAACAAATCGAGAAACATTCGCGTAAGTCTCGTACAAACGTGGGCGAGAGTAAGTTTAGGACAGGGAAAATCAATAACGACATTGTTCCTAACTGTATCAAGGCCGCCAGAGCCTTATAGTTAAATAGATATGTGTAGCGTATACGTCGCTAGAATTTATGAAATGTTCGAACGATGACTGAACGACGTCCTCCGCTTTGGACGTGTTGGTGAAACCGACGAAACATTTCGTCTCTATTGCTTCTTGTTGGCGTACATACAGCTCATATCAATGGAACGAGAACTGCCGCTATTCATTCCGGTAAAGAAAGAACTATGTGATGTATATGCATTATATATACATACATTAATAGAATTAACATTAATAGAAAAAGTATATATTAATGTTAATTCCTATATTATGTAGACACAAAATGTTAATAATTTTTAATATTAGAATAATTATAAATATTTAATTATTACTTTCAAAAACTAATCACGCTGCCTGACATGGATTTTAGACAAAGTAGACAAGATGATTGATTCTTATAGATTTTTTTATCGACATAAATAAAAATTCAAAAAATAAGGTAAACGTACCAGTGACTGAACGTGTATCTATAGCTGAACAAGTATACAAAACAAGCACAAAAACTTATTTTTAAATGCCTTTTTCATAATATTATAATTTAATTATAATTTTTAAATATTTTTACAATTAAATTTTGATATAATAAAAACATTTTTTGAGATTAATAAATTTTGTGTACGTGTTCAGATATAGATACATGTTCAGTCACTGGTACGTTTACCTTAAAATTAAAAACCAAAAACTTTTAAAACAGGAATTATGTGAAATATAGGATAAATATTAATATGTATATATTAATATGTATATATATATATATATATATATATATATATTGTATATATGTATATATGTATACTAATATTTATTTTTTTATGACAGATTATTTCTGTATATCTTAAGTGCAATATATTAAGAGCAAAAAACAGCAAAGGAAGAGATGAAATAATTTTCCGATATAAAAGATCGAACTTGGAAGACTCATTGCCAGACGAGAAGTAACGTGAGCCAATAAAACCTTGACCTTGCGTCCTCGATAAATAAACGGAGACGATACTTAGATAAAGTATTCGCGTAACTCATCTCCCTAAGTCCAGGAGAGTGACGTCGGCCGTTCTGGCTTCCAAGAAGCTTGACCTCGTTCGACACGTGACGATGATGTATCAGTCATTACTGTCATTAGACTAATTAGATCAGGGCAATTGATACAATCTGTCAACAACCTGCAGACCAGTCTATACTGTTTTGTTAAGATCGATAAGCGGAAGAAATGAATTTGCAAGTATAATCGAGGATTAAAATAACGTAATCGAATATGCAAACGCCAGCCAGTCTTAGCATATTCGTATATATTACTTATCAAACGACGAGCACGCGGGAACCGAACGTGAATGCATTGCCATTTGCATAGTTGTGTATATAAAGGACACGTAATAATTTCGCAAGAAGATATATCGAGATCAGATGTCGATATGACGCGAGTGAGAAAGCGGAATGTCTGGCCGCGATGTCGAGTCCCATGAGGCGGGTTCTGTAAAGATTCCTGTAGTGCAGATGAGTAGAGCATTCTGCGAGAACCATAAGAGAACTATAAATAAAGAATGCGTCGCGTGTCGTATGGACTTCCTCGAATTCTTTCCGCCTTAGAGAGGTACTCATCGTTGCTCTCAACCCGGGAATACTCACCTGATTTTTACACTTCAGCAGCGAAAAAATGTAGCTCAGTGACAGTAGTTTTTTTACTGCTCGAGTATCCCTATCTATTTTTTTTATTTCTTACGTTTTTTAAATAAAATATCAAACAAAGTCATTTATGTTATACGTAATGATTTCAGATACTAATAAATTAATTAACAATTAAAGTTTTTACTTTAATTGTTAATTAATTTATTAGTATCTGAAATCATTACGTATAACATAAATGACTTTGTTTATGTTGTAAAATGTAAAAATAATGTTAATCACCCTCCCCAAGTAACTCATTTACGTAGTGAAAAATTAAGTAACTATTCCCGAGTTAATCCCCATAATAAAGACGTCACACATTGGCGACGTTTTCTCGTACGAGATACACAATTCGGGAGGGAATGAACGCACCACGCAGCTCGATATAAATGTTATATATATTTCAGCTTAATGATTACAAACTAATGGCTTTTCTCTCCGGCGTACATCGGCAATGTCGTTGTTAGTTACAGAAAAGATTCTCCTTCTCGTGTCCACGGCGCGATCCACGTGTGAGTATTGAGAAAAATAAAGGGTGAATGAAAGAGCTAAAAAGGGGAGGGCTCTCTCCTCTCTCCGGATGACGAATGGCAAGGCTTCGACGGCATGGCATTTACGCAATGGCATTACAATAGTAACAATAGTACGATGTATTTATACAAAATGCGGCAGAGGCGAGAGATTTGCGCGCGCACATAAATAATAAAACCAGGAGAGAAAGAGAGAGAGAGAGAGAGAAAAAGCATTAAAAGTATATTTTACAATGTTCTGTACAAAATCTTATATCGGGACAATAAAAATTCAATCGACGTACATAATCAACAGTGCCATTAATCGTGAAATAGTGTGTATCGGTTGTGTATGGATACGTGTGTTTTTATAATGGTACAACGGATTGCACTTGCAATAATGCACGTGAGATAACATTTAACAATGATGCTGGCAAGTTACACCAACGGCTCGATAAACTAATTCGACAACAAACCATGTCACTCTAAAACAGAATACTAAAGGTAAAGAGAAATCCGTTCAAAAGTCGTGTATATATATCACGTCGTTGTGTAAGCAGTAACTCTTATTGTTTTGACGTAATAATTGACATTGCGGCTCGCACGTGTGTATATGTGTGTGTGCGTCTGTGTGTTTACAGGCAGAATTATTATACGTAAAAGATCATGAATCTTGTAATATATATACACAAATTAATCAAATTTCAGTTAAGTCATTGCACTACAAGTAACCTCGTTACAAGCGTAAAACTTCATCTACTCCATTCATTCTGCAGATTCGCATGAACAAGGATAAATTCGTGGATCATTTTCAAATTTCAAAAAAAAAAGAAGAGAAAAGCAAAACGCGGTCAACATTTACTGTCTCAACGAGCGCGGCGCTCATCCACAACAATTTTCGTCGTGTAATAATTTTGTCATGATCGTCGTACAAGCTAATTACCCTAATCCAGTTAGCTTTCCCTTCTCCTTTTTTTTTCTTCGTTATTCAGTGAAATAGTAAATGTTAAACATCTTAAGGGCTACACACTATTCAACTAAATTATACGATTCGATTATATAAAAAAAAAACAAAAAACCTAAACATAACTCATATATATGATCTCGATTTTGTCAACTTATCAGCAAAATTTAACGACACAGACACAATAAATGTTTCTAAATCATATATAAAAACCGACGGTAGTCTTTATGCGATTCTTAAATCCATTATCCATTCGCTAAAATCTCGTTCTATATGTTACATTTGGTATTCCGCGACGGAATACGTTCTTTTCATTTATAAACACGTAACAAAAATAGATAATAATAGATATATATGTGTATATGTATAAGTGTATATATATATATCTATTTATATGTCCTATACGTATTTGTGTATACATCTATATGCGTTTTTTTTTTATGTACAATGATAGATATGTAAAACCTAACAAAGTAGATAATGCTCGGCTGTTTAAACTAATGTACAAAGCTTCTTTTTGTCGCATCAAAATACTTCATTATATCTCGACGTGAGCAAGATTTAATCGACGTGTGTGTATTCGCTCAGGCATCTCCTTAATTTATTGTATTATATAAAACGTACTGTCATTTCGTTAAAAATCTTAGGCATTCCCTCGTCTGACAATTTTTGGAACGGTTTACACGATATACTAAAGTACGCGAAACATGTACGCGTTTTTAGGACACTTAAATGTATTGTACGCATATAACACGTATATATTTCGCGTAAAATAGATCATACGGATCTCGAGTACAAAATTAGATCGACTCGTTTTAATTGCACTTTTTTTTTACAATTTGCTTCTCTCTTTCCTCACTTCGTTGAAACCAATGTAATCTCCTTACTTTAAAATTTAATTAACGGTAAAAATACGGCACGGTAATAATACGAGACCGACAAAACTATGTAAATTTAAATCATGTATACGCGATTCTTAAATTCATAATATGAATTAATTTCGAAATATGATAATTAAAACTATATAAGCCGGAAATTTTATTTAAAAAAAATTTTTTTAAGTTAATCAAAGTTAAAAAGATTTGAGAAAATTTTCCCTTGTAATATAATAACCTTTTTTATGAATTATTTTTTCGTTTTAAGATCAGTTCAATTGTTTCAAATTGAAACCCGTATATTTTTTGGCAGCGTCAGATCCTCTGCATTATGCCCAACAATTTTTATCCAAGATCCATTTTTTTATATGCTAAATATTTTGAAGAATATTCGCGAAGAATCATCACAAATCCTTGAAATATGTTGATCAAAGTAACCCACTCTTGATCGGTACCTATAAACCAACGACGTGAACGTGATAATTGATTTTATGTATTATGTGTATCATAGGAACGGATCAGGACCCTAGTTCGTTATTTTCAACGGCTTTAAACCTCGTCTGCTTTTCTGTGTGTGCGTATACGTGTGCGTGTCATAAATATATCAGGGACCCTGTGGTTCGTCACTCCCACAGTATTTAATGACTCCAAACCCTCCGTATATATATGTGTGTTGTAAGATAAATGTAAAAAATTTCCTCAATTAACTTCTTTTAAATGACACCTAGAATTCACGTGAGTGTCGCCAAGAGGCCACTTTCAGAAATATTTCAATTAGCTAGTCTTGTGCGTAGCATCAACTACATCTTTTTGATTAATTTTCGATAAAATGACATAATACATGTAAAAGTATACGCGAGAAAGTACATACGTCCATATCGTTGATTCTAAGCAATTCCAAGAATAATTTGCTCTGAACAACATATAGTTAAGGATTTGTGGTAATTTTTCACATATATCCGTCAAAGTATTTATCAGATCCAAAAGTATCTCGGGTAAAAATTGCTGAATCTAAAACGTAGCATCCGCGTCTGTAAAAAAACATACAAATTTTTATTCAAAAAGACTAAAATCGATCTCGAAATGACACTCAAAAGGACAACTCCATGAAAAAGCGACAGCAACGAAATTTTTCTTTTATTTTTTCTTTTTTAAACTCTGAAGCTTTTTTATAGGAGACATCTTTTTGAAGAATTTATATATATCATCGTATGTATAAATATATAGCTGTTTCATTTCGAACGCGGAAAAACTAATATAAGTGCAGCTAAAACCAACAGATCTACGCACCGTGCGTTTGCATAACATCGTGATGACATATCCTTATGTTTACACAGACTTAATTACGGACTAAGTAGCACTTCTTTAATATCTGATAAAATTACGTCGGTATTTATTGTAACAACAATAAACATACGAGTAGGTACGTAAGCTCGTTTTTCGATCTGAGAGCTTCGCGAATATTCAATCGCGCAAGCCGGTAAGTATAATTTCGCAAATACAAACAACATCACATTCCCTTTCTCTCTTACATCTCACAGTCGCAATAAAAACAGTTTTTCCTTTTTCCTCATTTGAAATTGTTTGAACTTGCGAAATATAACCGCGTTCTAAAAAGATTCAGGCCTTTCTTTTCGCAACAATTCGAAATATTTACGATTTTTCTTAAACCTTTGTCAATATAAATTCAGTGATCGCTGAATTATTTAGCCCTTAATTAAACTACAATTGCATCTAAATTTTTATCTCTTATTAAAATTTGTAGCACCGCACAATTAGTTTTTTACAATCATACTTTGTAAATATCAATAATAGGCCGTCCAATTCTTCATTAAAGCTCTTTCTCTTTTCAAGTTTTTTTTTGTTTTTTTTTTTGACAAACAACAACCGTCCGACGAAGATTAATAAAACGTTATCATAAAAAGTCTGACAAATGGAGAGAAGATTCCTGTCTACTCATTAAAAGTTCAATCGGTCTCTTTTTTTTTTTAGTAGCACAAGATTCGTATAAGAAAAAAAAGAACAAACAGTTTACGGACATGTCAGCTCTGTTTTTTTCGGCTTATCATTAAATTTTGTACAACCGCTAATCTTAACGTCCGATCGAACGTTACGACGAAGGTATGAAAGAAAGGCCTGTAGGAAGAAGGCGGTGTAATCTGACTAGTTTAAAGTGCACATATTATGCATACATATATTCTTGTTGCTGCGTGATAGCGTGAGACAGTGTTCTGCGAGGCCCAATTGTCACTTGCGCATTTTACTCACAGCTAACTCTATATATACTGCGCGAGGTACTTTAATTGCCTTCTGACCTACGCGTAATTAAAGCGCACGATCCGGGATAATTGTGACGCAGTGGGCACCTCCACGCGGATTCCTCGTGTAGCCGAGCAGATCGGTCTCGCCGTTCGAAAAGCGCGGCGTTGAAGTGCGAGAAAAAAGAGCGCCTCTTCTCTCCGATTGTTCGTTATTTAATTCGTTTCTAAAAATCGGAGGTATATACAAATAAGTGCGAGATACAATGTTTACAATCTTACATTAACGATATTAGCAGGCCTGTAGGCGTGATACGTCAATGACACAGCGTCATTTAATTTGCCATCCCTCCCTTCGAGACTTCGGAAACATGTTTCTTCTCGCGAGCTGACTTGGCGACACCCATGCGCTCACCACGACGTTCTTTTCTCTTTTTCCTATCTCTCATTTTACTTTATTATCCCTGACCATGTGTGCGGTTACGCCGTACATTGTACCATAGCGCTATTACAAAAGAGTCTCCCGTTACGTTGCTGCGTACAACATTTTACTCGCGATCGATATGTGTGATAATGAAGTATCGAATGAGCTATGTGAACGAATAACAAAATTGCATTGCATGATTCAACTTTCGCGGCTGTGTGACAGCTGAAGGTGAATAGAAGGTAGATTTGAGAAATAGAAAATCTACGTAACTTGCGTTTCGTCGTTGTTCCGTTGACTGTATGCAGCAACCCCGTCGAACGCGTCACTTTCGTCTCTCTTTGAGCAATCCTGTCGGCGCGAAGGTGAACGGAAACGTTCGCGAGCGGAATTTTTCGTTGATAGAGTCGAGAAAAAAAATCGTTCGGAAGAATATCTGTATGCACTCGTTGCTTTCCACGCGAATATAAACGCAATAGCGTTCGTCTTTCCGAAACGACGTTAATCCTTAATTAATCGCGTGTTGCGTGAATTTAAAAAAAAAAAATTATAAATTTGTGATATATTCTATTTTTGCTCTCTTCTCTTTCCTATTATTTGATGTTGTATCAGAATAGCATCATTTTAAGGTTCTAATTTAATTTATTTCTAATGCAGTGATATAATAAAAAAAAAAGTGAAGTCATAGAAATTACGTTGCATCAGTTTGCTCAAGCGATTAACTAAGGATTAAACTAGGATATCTGTATGTCATTAATAAAGAAATCTAGAAAATATAATGCTAAAAAAAGTTTGCTTATCCCTGCAAAAATGGCAAAAAAATTTTTCTCACGATTAAACGAGAATTTAGCGAAAAAAATTGTGCTGTGAAAAAAATGCCTAACTAAAACCAGCTATAGACGATCTATAATATTTAAAAATAGAAATCTGGCGCGTTCTGTATATAGTCTCTTTATGCCCGTATGTTTCGATGTGAGAGTTCATATTTTTTTTTATCTTTTCATAAATACGCGCGCTGTGTATATTCTTCAATCTTTTCGTATACGGCATATAAAATTATAAATATGTGAAGTTACAGAGCCTATTATTATCTTGAATTTTGACGGGATCAGAGGAACGTAGGGAAGGAAAATTGTATAACAAGATGATATATAACATTTTGAAGCATTTTATCTGAGAGAGTATATAACACTAATTATGCTCTGTATATCTCAGGAAAAAAACTATAGATTATATACAATTTTACTCTACATTTTTAAAAAATTTCTTCAAATTGGGCTCGCGACTGTCAAATCGCATTACGGCTATTGAAAGACACTGCTGGAAAATTCCAAGAAACAGCCACTTTCTAATAAAAAATTTCATTTACACCGCTCTTTCACGCTGCGCAAATATTTGCTTTGCCGCGAGAGAATGAGGAGTAATACACTTTTCTTGGAACTTTGTGATTGTAACAAAAAATATCGCGCGTGATCATAAATCGTACAAGGGTTAATTGATTTTTTTTAATGAACGCGCAAGTTAGAAGCGCGAGTTTTTTCAGGAGTGTCGGATTCTCTGGGGAGGGGAGGCCCTATTCCCTTCGCTAGATTGCGCCTGATTCTGAATCATAGATCGTCTGAAGTGGACTTAATTTAATTAATTTTTCGACAGCAATAGGCTGTCCGTCAATCCGGTCATATGTATGTACACATGTATGACCGTTATACACATATATATAACGCATTCGTATATTCTATTTACTTATTTTAACTTATGGAGTAATCGCGTCGACATCGCGCATATAATATATATATTTAAAAAAAGTAACGCAGTACTGGTACATACTTTGGTGAACGAGAACGCCAATCTGGCATGTCTCGTCGCTCGAACGTATCGTGCCGCATACATGTGCATATCGCGCCGGATATACAAGCATAATCAAACAAGAAGACACCAGCTTGGGCGAAGGGATAAAAAAGGTCTAATTAAAAAATTCCCTTAAAGGCTCTGCCGAGTCGCGCTTCCTGTGTATTCTATTTTTTTTTTGTACGGATGCCTTGTGCATAAGACTCTTTCTCAGTGATGAGCTATTTAAGGAAGAGTCTTCAAACGTGAGCGCTCTTATCAGCAAGCTCCTTTACTAAGAGGTAAATTTCCAACGATTTATTTAATCCCAAGCCGATGATCTTCTTTTTTGCTTAGATCCAGTCTTATTTTCGTAGCAAGAATGAAACATTCTCTTTCATAAAGAAAGTCTCTCTTAAATCTCTTCGTACATTTCAATAAGCGGACCTCATTTCCGAGGTCGCAAAAGGTCACTGCTCGACTCAGTCGATTCGCGTGAGCGTCGCAATTACATTCAAACGTGTATAACCCCCCCCCCCCAAAGTCCCTCGCATGCACCGCCGTATATACCACAATTTTACAGTGTAGCACTTACTTCGTCCGTCTACGCAGGTGGCAATGATCACCGCCGCGAAGGAGAGGAGAAAAACGAGACGACAGTCTCTCCTCACCTCACTGAACTGTACTTGGCACGACCGTCACCTCTGCGTACTGCTCCGCGTCCGGCTGACTTGTCGCCGTCTGCGGCAGTGACGGTGGCATCTTCTCGAGTCGCACGTAAGACGGTCCCGCCGAGGGCGGTGACAAATTCGCGATGGTGATGTAACTGGAGTCCAACTCCTTCCCCTCTATCGTCACATCCGCCGTCGGCCAGGACGGAGCGTCCTTGTTGTCGACATCCTCATCGACGTCCTCCGTCACGTTCGCGAGTTCGCCCGCCTTCTCTCGCTGCTCCTGCGGCTGTGCCTCATTCACAATAGTGTACGAGACTCCGCCCGTAGTGGAACCGTGCGAGTCGTGCAGCGTTTTCTGCTGTAAAGATTCTTGATCCGCTTCTGTAACCGGCATCGTCATCCCTTCGGGCATTATGGTGGCGAGGATATACTTCGGACTTGCCGAAGTCAAGGAAGTATTGACGGGGAAGGTCGGCGAGAATGACATGTAATCTTTCTTGCACAGATTCTGATTGTCCTTAACCTTGAAGGTGCCGCACATCAGATTGCTATTCCTGGCTTGTATATGTTTGGGTATACTGGAAGGCGATCCGGGTATTTCGTCTATCAGACCCGCTTGAACATACGGCGTCGCCATTGTCGTCTTATCGGGATTGATGTGAGACGCCAATATATCTATCTTCTTGTTCAGCTCGATAATCGACCGCATCTTGTCGTCGATGGTCTGCTTCTGCTTCTCCTTCTCGAATTCGTCGTCAAATTTGATCGATATCAAGGCTTCACCGCTGTCGTCGCTGCTATCGTTGTTGCTATCGTTGCTGTCGTCATTGTTATCGTCCTTGCTGTCACCGTCGGCGCTGTTACCACCGGCGAAGCTGACATTCTTCCGCGGTACGAGGCTCGGGTTGCTCAGTAACGCCTCCGAGGAGGACGGCATGCTGATATAGTTTGTGCTGGACCAAGCATGTTGCGATGGCGAGTAGCTCTTCGACATCGTGTTATCCGTTAAATTGGGCGTTGACCGTGCCAACGATATGGTCTCCTCGGAGGTCGGCTCACTCACGGAATCGCCAACTTTGATGTACGAGTCCGCCCAGCAGGTCGTGACGTCTGCCAATAATGCGCCCGGTGCACGTGCAGTTCTTTGTCGTAGATGGGTCGATTCGCGAACAGGCTGACTCTTCAGTTTGTCGGACGTCGTATGCACCGCGTCCACCTCAGTGCCGCTGTCACTGCAGACCTGCGACTCCGCCGTGAGCGAAGAGGTAACGGACTCTTGACCGCTTGAACAGCCGCTGGAATCGGCGGACGGCTGACGTATGTGTGGTTCGCCCTTGTTCTCAAGCAGCATCTGCGCCAATAAAATAGAGCTTACATTGTCACACTGTATTTTTGTAGATTATGTCGCATTTGCTTCAATCGCATTTGTTTCGATAACCGTAAAATATTTAAAAAAAAACTTGAGACCGAGGTATCTCACCATATTTACCGGGGTAAGTCCGGGCGGTAGTTTCACTTCGACATCTCGCATAGCTCGACATTTTATCCACATTCTGCAAAAAAATTGCAAAAAGCGTGTTAAAGTATAGAGCTAGAATGGCTGTAATTGGATAAAAATTCTTTTCTTGTGTTAGTTAAAGTTAAAAATTATTTAAATGTATCGTTATATTTCCACAGAGAATTGCTGAGGAATAGAAGTTTTTTTTCTTACCTCTTGAACATGTACACAAGGCACGCGATGCACGCTGTGATACTGAAGACGCCAACCATCCATATAATAACCAGTGCGACGTACGATAGTCCTGTTGCATGGAAAAATATACATTCGCTAATCAAAAAACGAGTTGCTTAACAATATCCGCGTTAAATATGTATGTGTAATATTACCGCGTCTGTCGAATCGAAGTAAAAGAAAACAAAACACAATAGAAAAAAATTAATCTACTGGAGATTGTAGGAAACTTTGGTTCCTGAAATAATAAGAAGCAGATGAAGAAAAAGTCCGACGTGGTCGAGTCATATAAACCGGTTTCGCAATTTATATCTAAAAAAAAACTATAATCATTACCTCTCATTGTAAAAAGATATTAAACGTTCTCGTCCTTTAAATGAATGTCATCATTTATACTCACAAATGTCATGCCATGTACGTGTGTGTGTGTGTGTGTGTGTGTGTGTGTGTGTGTGTGTGTGTGTGAATTGCGACAAAAGGTGCTCAATTTTATAAGAAAACAAACGCGTCCCGTATAAAAGAGTAATTTGTTTCTCGTGCTTTCTATATTAAGAATAATAAGAAACACTACCGTTATTATAACAATTTCCTTCCCCATAGTCGGACCAGGATCCTTTCAAAATATCGCCGTTATTGATATTAATAGCCCTGACCCGGAACTTGTGCTTCTGCTCTCGATGCTCAACGTTCTTGCAGTCAGGAATGGGCAATTGCACTTCTGCAATATAAACAAATAATATTATAATTAAGTTTTTGTATTTTTCCTTCTATAGTTCCCTATTCTTTTACCGTCTCTCTTCACTTCTCTCTCTTTTGAAATTGTTATTACTTTACGTTTATCACCATTTAAGAAGAAAAATGGAAAACGAAAAAACACAAAATAATTCAAAGTTTAATTATATTTGAAAGAAATATTTCTTGTAGCTTAGTCTTGTTTAATCAGAAATTCTCTTAAATTCCTATTAGTCTCACCTGGTTTAGTAACGTTTTGGATTATGCCATTTCCGTACTCTATTTCGTAATACATCTCTTCTACAGGACCGGCCGGTTCTGATGGTGGCTCCCACTGGATGTTCACTTGGCTGGAGTTTACAAAGCGTACTTTGGGTATATTAATTTTGCCGGGCACGCCGATCTTCGTGTACTCATCTACCGCCTTTGACTTTTCACTGCACTGGACGGTACACGCGGAAATTCTAATAGAATAGTTCGTATACGGTTTCAATTCCATCAGCTTGATGTGATTTCCCTCCTTGTCCTCATCCACATCCACCTTCCTGACTTCACCGTTGTAATAGACCTCGTAATACCTGAGCACGCCGTTCATCGCCGTCGGCTTTTTCCACGCGACGAACATCGTCGTGTTACTCACGTCAGTGATTCTCACGCTCAATGGTGGGGTCGGCGCGCCTTCGAGGGTGGTATTGTACAGGGGATCGCTAGGCAGACCCTCACCGCTCTTCGTCAGCACCGCGACGTTCAGCATGTACGTGGTGTAGGGCTTCAGATTGTAGACAGTGCCATGTATCGTGTGCGCGTCCGCTACTATGGTGCTGTTAAGCATGGGACCGCTACAGCTGACATTCAACGGCGACACTATGGGACAGTACTTAATGCTGAATCCCTCGATTATCCCGATGCGATCCGAGCAGTCGAGCTTCCAACCGACTTCGATAAAGGTCGACCCAATACGATTGATCCACACGGACTTCATTTTGCCGAGGACTCTGTTGTGAATTACCGTGCACGTCGACCATATCATACCGCTGCTACCTCTCTCGGTATTGACGGAGATTGCGAATTGATACACCTTGGACGGGTCCGGCACAGTTATGTTGTAGATCGTAGTATTTCTGTTAACATGCACCCAGTCCAAGTATCCCTGCAAACGTAAAGCGTTTAACGTGGCGCGTACACTTTAAACTTCTAAATGAAAAAATATATATATATATTTTTCAAATAATGCAGAGAATCACTGATACGTACGGTACACTGATACGGACGATCGCGCTCATTGTCGCACCAAAAGATGGTGTAATTCATGATTCTAGGTTTGACGAACGGCGGCTTCCAGGATAATTCGTACAATCCTTTTTCGAAAGCGATTTTCGTGAACGCTATCAGTTCATGCGGTACTGCGAGAAAAATAACGTATTGTTACAAATTGTTAGATGTACTTAAATCTTTCTATCCTTCCTTGATATCTCCATATACTCACTCTCTTGATGATTCGGTACGTATATTCTTGCACGATTACTGTTAGCCCCGACCTCATTCGTCGAGATGATCTCGAATAGGTAGCTGTGGAAGCTGATTCCCTTCAATTTAGCGTACGTCCTGGTCGTTTCGCTTGGTGTGAGCGAAACGTTTTGGCCATTTTCCTCCACGTGAATGATTTGATATTTAAAATTATCACCGTTCTCCTGGTTGTGCGGTATCGCTTGCCAATACAAGTATACGTCCCTGTTTCCGTTATTTTCAGCAATTTCGAAGCTACCGATGTCAGTTCGCGGTGCAGCGCCAGGCACTAAGTCAAACGAGAGAACACATTTAATAGAAACAGATCAATGTACACTAATCGTAGCCTATTTGCAATACGCAGTTATATCGATTAAATAATAAAGGCACAAATACAATAGATTCCCTTCCTGATTCATAAATTTACTTACATTTCGGCGATGTCCTGAATGTAACGACACTGAAGTCACTCCATCGATCCGGTCTTACAGCTGTCGCGCTCTTTAAATAAACGCGAACATCGTACACTGTGTTAGCGTACTCCAGTCTGGTAAGATTCCAAAGCCATTGCTCCTTATTTTTGTGTGACGTAATATTGATGACCTAGGCAAGAAAAGAATAAATTCGATTAAGATTATCATTGTTTATCGAGATAATTGATAATTCTTTCAGTAATTGCGACATCGACAAATCATCCAAGTGCAGCAAATATCACTTGTATCAATACATATCGTACATTCCAATGCTTCTCAAGATCCCACTGATGTTGATACATAATTTTGTGATGAATACCAACTGGAAATGTCGCCATCGGGAAGGGGATTTCCCAATACAACAGTGCGCTCTCCGATGTTTTACTTATTAAGGTGAGGTTATGAGGTTTAGCCGGAATAACTGAAAACAACGAAAAACACTCTTGAACATCAAGTGGACAGCGAATTGAAAAATTGCGCGGTACATTTCTCATTATTAAGACATTTTTATACGATGAAATATAAACAATGGCTTGTATAAGATTTACGTACCGTTAGGATAATGCTGGATGCGATATGTAAAGTTGACGGTCCCGAAAGTATTAGATGCATTCAGTGTAAACATATAAAACACATACGGTTGCCTATACAGTGGATTGGAATATATAGTCCACGTGCACGAATTCTCTGTCGTCGTCTCAAGCGGACAGTAATACAACGCTCCCGATCTTGAAGCTAATTGGAACATTAACTCGTATGTTGTATGGACGAAATTGTGTTCTGGCTCCCATGTGCAATTGAAGCTCTCCCAATTATAGGAAATGCAGTCGAATTTTTTAGGTTTCTGAGGTGGATCTGTCGAGAGATAAAACGAGTAAAATAAAATAAAATATTTCACATAAGAAAGAAACGTGTGTTGTTTTCTTTTTCGTGTGTTTAAATTAACTGCGCACAGTTAATTTAAACAAAATAGCTTTCGCGACATTTGCTAAGTGTATTGATAATAAATGCTTGAAATTGTATTTGCAAACATTGCATATCACGATTTGCTTTATATCAATCCTACCAATTTATTTTTATTGGTACAACCTGTCAATTTTTATCGCTTCTAAGATTACGGACGCTTTATGTATAACATATTACGTTGAGATTAAAATTTTTTAATTATACGCAGTTTACTTGAATCGAAAATTTGTAAGATTCATACATAAAAAATATTATTAAACAGAAAATCCGCTTTGTGTTATCTCATCTTAATTGCTTGAAACAGTCCACGGTCAATTCAGATACTTAATTGTTTATAATATAAATGTTTCATAAATGTATAATTTATCGTACAGAATTTAATTCAAATATAGCTTCTTTAAATGAGTAAACTTCTATGGGATAAGAAGTGATTTGTTTAACTCTTAGTATTACACAGTGTCTGTTTTCTAGTTATCTTTATTGTCGATGATAGTAAAACGATTTCTAAGACGCCGTGCATGTCAAACGATTTACTCGTAACTAATGAAAAGAGAATCAAAGCTCTGTACTGTTTCCGCAAAAAATCATCGACGGGTCGTGCTGATAAGGATAAATGTGTGCTTCTACTGGATATGTAGATAATCATATTTCAGATACGTTTTGTACGATTGTAAATAGTGGAAGATGTATTTCTCGATACTCTCAAATTCTTCAGATTACCAAAAATGTCTTTAATAAAAATAAAATAGTGTTCCTCCATCAAATGTCTCATAACTACGAGTACAATCAAAGAGTTGATAAAAAAAAGTATGACGAAAATGTAGAATAAAACTCATTTTGCGAGGCCTCGTACAGAAAAATTGTATTCCGTTTATTTTGGTTTATTTTTTTTTCGCGAGAAATCGTCTCTTTCTCAATTGATTTATCAATTTGCAGAGTATTAATGTAAAGACATACATAAAAGATAATTTAAATAAGTTTTTACTTACATCCAACTACAACCTTGTTGAGACAAACTGCTACATAGTCGCTGTTGTTTACTTTCAACTTGCAATTGTACATGTTGTCGGAGGCCGGTGGCTCGTTGACGTACAGCTCTAACGTTGTTTCATTAATTACCGTGACGAATTCCGGCCCCATTTCGTGATCGTTACGAAAGAATCGGAGATTCGTCGCATTTTTACCGGGATATTCACGATTCACGATCGTCTGATTCAATATGCAGTACATTTTGAGGTCCTTACCATGTTCGATAACAATATCACCTTGTGGCCAGGTCCCTACACAGAATAAGGTGAAATTTATAGTGCTGTTATTTGAGGATACAAGACACTTCAGTTGAATCTTCAGTTATAAAAATTCACAGATTAACGAATATAAGCGAAATTTTTAAAGCCGTAATCACACTAGCGATTGAGATTGGATTGGGATTCGATCAATCAAAGTAAAATTTACTAAACTTGATATTAGTTATTTTTCTTCTGATTGGTCAAATTTCAATGCAATCTCAACCTCAATCGCTAGTGTGATTAGCTTGTGTGACGGCTTAAGTGACTAGAGTAAACAAGATTGAACTAAAATTATTCATATAAGTTTTGCATCACAAATATTAAAGTGAAATGAAAGTAAAATTACGAATATCGCGATGAATACACTTCAACGGGTGGGCAATTTCGATATGAACTGTACAGCTCGCGGATTAAATATAGATATATACATTTAGCTCGACACTAGAATTCCAAAAGGAGAGATAAGACATATGTTTTATTTATAATCTTAGCACACAGTAGTACGCATGCGAGAGAAATAGGAGAAACCATCTTTTATCTCTGCTATACAATGTGTATACATGTATCTATTCAAATATAATGTACCGTTTCAAAATGTGCAATTATATGCGCACATTCGTAACGCGGTGAAAACAAAACGGGCCAATTTAAATATCAGTTCGAATAGCTTAATTCGCTAATCGCTAATAATCATATTCGCGAATACAGCGCGTAAACATAAATTTACTCGCGTGTATTTAGGCGCAAAGATACATTTGAGCGAGACTTACACCCTGGTGTGCTTAATCCAACTGAGCAAGTGCGGGCTGTACACTGCGTCGCGCAAAATAGGCAGATTAAGATAGGAAAGTAGGCCCGCCATCTCCTCCATGAAGAATTCGTTATCCAGTCGGTGATTAATCCTAGCATTTGATTGAAACCGTATTTCGAGAGTGCGCTCGATGCGTGAGAATGTCTCATCGCGTCACTCTCTCGCGTAGAACTGTGACGATTTCGGTGGTTCGCGTTCATTACACTTGTATCGCGTCCGTGATCACAGGGAGCGACAGGGCAGGCGAATTCTTTTCGCAACGAGTATAGATCAGTTGATTGGGCGTTGTGAGAGAACGAAGTGTCCTCTGGCAAGCGAGCCACGCTATCGGGCTCGTTTTCCAGCGTTGTGACGGTATCCTTCTTGTGCAGGACGGCATTAGAGGCGTTGAATGTATCGCAGCGCGGCACTGCGAAACTGTTGGACTCATCTAGCGTAGATCGGCATCCAGCTCGATGTCTCGACGTGGCGTCCGCTCTGTGCGACGGACACCGATCCATTTCTCCAGGCACTCTTATCGATCGCGTATCGATTGAAGGCATTTTGCGCTTCCGTCACTGGAAAGAAGATAAATAAATTCAATGAAAGTAAATCTCAAAATCGCACATGGAATATTCGATGTTACACACATGTAACTGCTATTGGCAATCGAAGAAGTTAATAAAAGATCTCATCAAACCAAGCGATGAATTTTTTGTCAAATATAAACAAATTTTTGTTTGCAACGAAAGAATTTTATTACAAAGTTAATTCTAAAAGTCAAATTACTGAAAGCTGAGGTAACAATGTTGTAACATCGAGTTGTGTCAAAAGAATTTAAAAAAAATTAACAGGAGCAGAGGAAGACGGTCGTCGCTTGTGAACCGCGTTCGCGCTAGGACACAACTGACTACCAGCGGATCTACGAAACTTACGAGGAATGTAGGGGGAGGAAAGTACACGAGCAAATTCGTGACACGTGGAGAATGGTGTGCTTCTAATAAGTCGTTATATTTCGTCACGTATCGCGACGATAATATAAACATAAGCTCGCGATGATTAATATTTGCATATGAGAAATTTTGCCGAGATACGTATATAAATACAAGTTGAGATATATATGATCGGATTCGATATTCCGGAAATCACAACAGACTTCAATTATTCGGCAAGTTCTGGAAACTTGGAGATCCGATAAAAGAGATTTAACTGTGACATATTGTGTTTATGTTAATAAATCACCATCTGCAGTAGTATCAGTCTATGTTATCTATTGTTCGTTTTGTTTACTTTCTGTTCCTTGTTAAAAGATTGTTGAAAATCTCTAAAATACTTGCTATTCCTAAGGGCTAACAGCACAATAAGAATAAAAATCATTTGAGCACAATATCTCCTAAACCCCCAAAGAGTTCCAGTTCTGAATCCCTGTTTTCCAATATTTACTCTTAAAATAATAGATACTTATTAATATATATCATTTATCGTCGAGTTTGAGTTATTTTTATAATAATCTAGCGCATATATATTCTTTTGGAAGTAAAGAATATATTATGTTTTTTTGTATATAGATTTATTGTCCAAAATCCGATTTTTATTTCGAATTTATTTCAATTCCATTGTGCCATGTCTTTGAAAATTCGAAAATATTCAAAATTCTAAACATTTCCAATAGAGATTTAGTATGTTTTTCTATATTTTTAGCATATAAATTCTTATAAACATCAGAAAAGAATAGAATAGTAGAATTTAATAACTGTATAATTAGTAAACTTTTATTTGACACTTCGTGCAAAGATTATTTTCGTTCTCTTTCTTCAGATATATGTATACCCAGAAATTATTTTATGTTGCTTACAATTCAAAAAAGTTTTTCTTACAAAAATTAAAAATATAATATATTAATTATTTTCAAACATATTTCCGTCATTAAAACTTATTTATTATTTAACATATATTAACGTTCATTAAGTATAAATATTTAATAAACAATTTTAATGATAATTTAATAAACAAATTAATAAACGCTTTTATATTTTTAAATTAATTTCAAATAAAATCTTGAAATAAAAATGGAATTTTATTAACTCTCTGCTCGGAATATCGGTCATTATGACCGATAAGGTTCTCACATTTACATCAGTGGAAAAATAAATGAAACTCGTGTTTTTTTAGAATATGGTCATTATAATAAAGTTCCATGTGACCGGATTTATTATAATTTATTATTTATTATAATTATAGCAAAATTATAATTATAACTTTTTAATTTTTAATATTAACCCTTACTTGCCACACTTCTGTGGCGTGACGTGCTTGACACACTGGGGTAGATATAGTGCATTATGTACAATTTTTCTCAGGGTTACATACTTCAAATTAACGAAAAGTGGGCCTGGGGTGTGTTACACCCCAGTGTGTCAAACAAGGGTTAATATATATATATATTAAAAATTAAAGTTATAATTATAATATTTTGCTATAATTACAGCTAATATAGCTGCAATTATAATAAATTAACTTCTACCCGGAACGTCTGTGGATACCCGGTCATTATGTTTGTATTTGATTCTAATATTTTTTATGTATATTAATGTATATATATGTATATTAATGTATATATATATAGGTATATATATAACGCTAAAGATTAGATAATAAATAACATAATAATTATTCATGTTCTCACTAAAAATAATTCCAAATTTGTCAGAAAATTTATCGTTAAAAATTAATGTGCGGAAAAAATAAAGAATCCATATAATTTTGTAAAAAAAAGTTCAAAATCATTAATCACAAAATAAATTATTCATAATGTGCATTGCATAATACGCCGCGATGGGAAACAACATTTCCACAAATATGCAAATGACTCTTTACAAACACGTTATTACAGACGTGAATGTAACAGGAAAACTCTTCATTATTTCTTTCTAACTTCGAATCTTTGTTTTTTTTCTCCTTCTGAATAGTAACTTCACAAAGAGAAAGAAAATGTTTCTGCTGGCGTACAGGGTTGAATAATATATTTTTTTTCTACAAGCGCCCCACGGCAAAAAATATTACGCAATATTGTGACAACCAAATAGCTGTCGCGCAATCGTATATTTAATTTGTATCTTAATCCAAATTCCAATTTTACTGCGCGGGAAATACGTTACGAGAACGATTCTGCGAAAATTAATTTTTCAATTTTACACACGTGGAAAAGAGTTTGAAAAATATTTTTAAAAAATAACTCGTTCTCATAAAATTTATATTCCACATTAGTCTTTTCATGGAAAAGATTTGTTTGTAAAATATGTAATCCATACTAATCTTTTAATGGAAAAGTTTCTCCTTTCTGTGTCTCTCTCTTCCCCATGAGATTTATAATCCAGATTAATCTTTTAATGGAAAAATGTGGGCAATGGGGGATACCGAGGGAAAATATGCTCGAGAGAGAACTTATTTCTCGCTTGCTTTTTTCGTGCTGCTCACCTTGAACATCCGCATTTCAGTCGCGGTCGTTCTGTCCACAAGCGATAACAGGTGCATCGTCGTGTTGCGGAATACCGAATATATGTGTCACGAAGTAGGATTCCGGTCCGGAACTGATAACGATAGGAAGAACCCGTCCGATGACTTTCGCATTTTTTTCGATTCCGCGCTGGGAAAGACCCGCGCGCCTGTGGCACCCTCGGGGCGTGAGCGCCGCACGCGCGGCGATTTTTCCGTGCTCGCGACGGAATTCAGCGTTCAGAGAAAGAAGGAGAAAGAGGCGATCGATATCCCGCCGTCTCGCGAAAACAACATACACATCGGAGTCTCGTATTTGCGGAGTTCACGAGCTCCGGGGCGAAATCGAGGAAACGGCATCGTGCAGTGCGCGCTTTATCGCGCCGATAAATCGATCGCGCCGCCACTTTACTTCACTTGTGTTAGACGCTCTCGTTCCACTCCACTCCCGCCGCGCGATCGGTTTCGTCCGCGTGCTCTGCTTTGCGGCCGCAGAAGACCGCGGGGCGGATCGCGGTGAATAATGAAGAAAATGACTGATAAAGAGCCAACGACAAGTCATTTTCGTTTTAATCACGCCGCGATTCGCTACTCGCGTATTCGCGCATTGTTCGCGCTTCGATCGATCGATCGCGACGCAATATGAATGAGAATTCCGCGGGGTCGTTCGCATCGCGATTTTTCGGAAATTTCCAGAAATACGCGTTGCGTTTGCTGAAAGCCATCGAGCTTCGGCTACAGGTAACATTCGGTGTTTTTAAAATTCAAAAAGCTTCCGGCATTTCCTTCGGCAATCGCTCTAATTACAAAAACAATATCGATATTTAAAAAGAGTTTAAAGTTCATTCGGAAGTCAACTTCAAAATATTTCAACGCTTTAAAAGAGGCAACGGAAGAATTATCTCTGCTTAATTATTTATTTTCAGATAAAAATAATCTCTTCGGCAATTATTTTTAAAACGTCGCGACACACAAATTCGACGCCGTATAGTATATTCCTTATCGTCGTATAACGGTTCTCATAGATGGTCAGTTGCACGTACGTAATGCGTGGTAACGAGTAGCGAGTAGCGTTGATAAGACAATTTATAAGGAAGGCGCTGTGTGTACTCTTGTAATTAATTTTTATTATCGTCAAACTTATTGACACTTTCATGACCGATGACGTCGTATTACGTTTCTGTTTTCAAAGCGCGGCGCGGAGGGCCGCGTTGACGTAATGCCGTCAATAGCCACGTCTTTCGTGAACTTAAAACCGACGATAAGGGGAGGGGGGAGGTCGGCCCGCGCGCGATACACGTGTATCGTTGTGTATCAAGAACATACAATTTTATCGAACTTATTCGCGTCGCGCGGCGCTTCCCGGCGCGGCCGAGGCGCCGCGTTGTCACGCATCGACGCGCAAGATGTGTCGCTGAAAGACGGATTACGAAATGAAGATAAGTTTTCCACCGGAAGCCAGGGTTCTTGGAACCGCGCGAAGAGAGATGCATCGCCCGTCGCGTACGTACATTTCGCAAATAGCGCAAATCGGATTAAGAGGCGCGGAGAGTCGTGAGATCCGCTCCGACGATCTCGCGCGCGAGATGCTTTCCGAGGAAAGCGCGCGCGCGCGCACGCTCGCGGCCGCCTCGCCGCCGTGTAGGTATTTATATCTCCGCGCGAGCGCTCGTGGAATGACAGATTTCGCTAAAAAAAGAAGAAAAGTCGCCCGAGGAGGAGAGGGGGACGAGCGAGGCGAGGAGGGCGTTCGCGGGAATCCGCTTTTCGCGACTGGTCCACGCGGCTGGCGATGCAACGGTGAAGTATCGCCAGCCGATGGGACCGATGTTCTCTGCGAACCGATATCATCGTTATCGACGATATTTGTTCATATTGACTTTTATTTTTATCGATTACCATCGTGGATGAGATTACAAGGGCGATTATCGTCTCCCATCGCGACGCGCGACAAATCAATCCCTATCTATTTTTCGGCGCATCTGCACGACTTAATATTGCGCGGTGCTACTGCAAGCAATCTCGTAAACGTCTGAAGACGATCGTTAGTATCGCAGATCGTCGATATGTCGGCTCGCAAATC